AATGTCATTTTACTGGGCATGTTAAGAAGCTCAAATTATCTTAGTTTTGACCAAGATCTTAAAGGCAAGACCCAAATTTATCTTGTTTATACTGTCAAATATATGCTTAGCAGCCAGCACCAAGCTGTACATAATAGTCATTCCATTATCTACAGAAGAAATAGGAGGACGTAAATAAAACTATCCTAATGCAGTAAGAGAAATAAAATGGTAAAGATTCTGAGTCTTACAGGAAATTTTTCTGCAAATTGGAAACCATCACATAAAGTAGTAAAGTTAACTTACTCAAGTTAATATAGTTTAACCAAGAGTTGAGACTTCAATTCCTATATTTTTCCTTAAACATCATAAAAATAAAATCTATCAAAATATATCCATGTTATGGGATTGCACAGTAATGTGAATATACTTCACACTACTGAAATATATGCTTAAAACTTAGAATGGTAAATTTGATGTGTACTTTACCACAATTAAAAAAAATCAAAACTGGAACAAAAATATCCCTGTGACAAAAAAAATCCAAATTTAAATAATTACATATAATTTCTATTATATTTATAGATATTTCTACCAAAATAAAATCTGACTACATATGAAAATAAGACAATGAGTAAAACACTTAATTTTAAGTTAACAATTATTCAGAATCTTATGAAATAACCTTTTATAATAAGATTTTCTCTACCTTACCTACCATTAAAAGTAACTATGCAAAATGGCATAAGAATGAAACACAGTAATTTAACTTAGTTAGCGCAAATCCATTCTGGAATAAGGGGAAATTAACTAAGTTATTTTTATTGTGCTTCTATGTCAACAACAAAAATGAGCAGTGTGATAGTCATTATAACCATTCAAAAATAACCTAGTCTTCTCTTTTCCTGTGGATATTGTTGAAATCAGGGATAGCCATGTGATATGCTCCTTGAAATGAGAAAGGAAAAGATGAACATCTCCAAGAAAAAACTAGTGCTTTAGCACATTCTTTTTTCCCCTCTACTATGGTGACTCTTAACATGTTAAAAACTGGCTGTCCTCAGCTAGGATTCCAGAGCAAAGACAACAATGAGAACAGTGTTCCAGCAAGCCAGAAAGGACACAAAGAGTAAGCAAAAATAAATCATTGTATTAAACCACTGAGATTGTGAGATATTGACGTAGCACAGCACAGAATACATCCTAACTGAAAAAGAATCTAAATACTGAATATAAAGCACTGGTATAAAAAAGTAAAGTGGATTCCCACAAATGAAGAAAGGAAGGATGGGCAGGGGTGAAAGGATTCTCCCCTTGTTCTCCACTTGCTCTGACACAAGGCTTCCATCAGAGTATAGATACCAGGGCATTACTCAAAGCCCTGCATGCTACAGAGCTCAGGCTAAGGGGCAAAACAAGTACTGCTACTATAGACAAGTTTGAAGGGCTGAAGGAAAGCTTTTTCTCCCCTTCCCCTTCCCACTTGCAGCCAAGTATTGAGGAAAACTAGACTCCTCTGAACACTAACTTTATTCTTTCAGCCATGTGAAGAAATCATGGTCTTGAGAAAATTTAACAATTTTGTCAATGAAGTACCAGGGCCCATTCCTTGGCATTTTAAGTTCATCTACTACCATACAAATTTGTAGCCTTATAGACAATTTCACCCAGAGGAGTTATTTAAGAATCAGTTATTCCTCCTACAGTCTCTTGTTTACTATTGCCTTCATGAAGACCAAAGGGGAGCTGAACTTTGAACAGGAACCAGCTTCCTGTTCAAATTAAGTGACCAAATTACAGGGCTCAAAATTGGGAAATTCATTAGCTCGTTTCATTTGTAACTTTTAGGACCATTATAAACAACAACAGAGTTGTGCCCTGGCTAATAGCAACTTAACCCCAAAGGGAAGTGGTGGACACCACAGGGCTTCATCCACTGAGAACAAGAGCCACTTTCCTGCACTTCATGAAAAGGCAGCTTTTGTTTGCTAAGCTATGCCTACAGACACCCTACAGAATGGCTTACTATTCCCCATCCTTGTTTACTGGAATTTCTTGGAGATCATATTTAGAAGTAGTATATTAGTAAGAAGCACTCAATTTCTGACCATCATCAACTCCTGAGTGTGGGTCTCCTTGAGGTTTGATYCTTCCCCTGATATTTAGCATGATAACCTGCAGTAAGTATATTTATGAACTTGGACAAGATACTGTGCCATTCCTGTGCCCAGTGAGAAATATGGACATGTCTCTGATAAACAAGGAATCAGAGATATTCTTTTGCTGCAATTCTAGCTCCTGGAAGAATCTCTCCAATGAAAAACAGTTTAAGAGAAATTCTATAGCACAACACTAACCAAATAACATCACTTTTATACTAATTGTATTTAGAACCAAATAATTATTTGTTGTGGCCACTATCCGTGGCAGTGCAGCAAGTATAGCAGAATCCCTGGTCTTTACCCACTAGATGCTAACAGCATCACTTTCCTGTTCCCAGCCTGTGACAATGAAAAGTATCTTGAGATAGCACCTGAATGCCTTAGAGGTAGGGTGCAAAACCATACCAGGTGACTACTCTGCTAGAAGCTGGTTCCATTTCCAGCAGTTAGTATGACATTGACAAGAGGATATATACTAGGACCAARATGCCCACCCCATCCCCACATGCTCCACTCCATTTGAGGCTGGTATAGAACTTGCCCTGAGATACCACTGGTAAACAGATTAACAGACTCTGCCCATAAGTTGAGAAGTTGGCCTGATTCCCAGCAAGTAGAAAACAACTGAACCTTGATTTTTTGCTTGATCTTCTTCCCATACCACACCATTCTCTCCTTCTAATACTTCCCTTTCACTCTTGACTTTCTCCTACAAGTAGAGACATGACTCAACTAACTCAGATGATTTATCTTACAAAACAAGATGTAAACCAACAGCAAACTGCTACTGACCTGACCTTCTGCCACCACCATCCCCACATAATGTAGACATGTTCTGGTGTTAACTGGAAAAATCTGAACTGGGTCCAATTCTCAGAAGTCTCTTTAGCTTGCCTAATTTACAGGGCCAAATGGGGGCAGAAGCCCATATTCATAGATTGACCTCACAGACTAACTTATATTTTACCAAACCAGGAACATAGTCTGATCCTTAACCAAAGAAAAAAATTTAAAACAGGAAGGAAAAGATAAAAAGAATATACCTTTAATGCCAACTACAACTATATAAGTATCACACTCATAAACATAAAAACCCCACCACATTAAAAAACTATGTCTCATAAGCTACACGGGAAGGACTATATCCTTGCTCTATTTCATACCAAAGTAAGTTCCATATGAATCTACAATGAAGTATAAAAAATGAAAACTTTAAAAGTTCTATAAGAACACATGTGGAACAATGCTTTAAAAACCTGGGTTGAAAAAAGTCTTTTATTTTTATTTTATTTTATTTTATTTTTCTGAGTTTCCCTCATAACAAATCTAATCATTTAATGTTGTTTAGAGTTCATTTTAAACATTCTGTAGAGAACATGATATAAATATTAAATTTAAAAAATCTCCATGGAATATATGCTATCATCCAATTTCATCCAATATTCATCTATAAAAATTAGAAGCTAGATTACATCATCTTTTAACAAACTTGCAAGTCAAACTGTCTTGTTCTTATTGTCACTGGACAGCATTTATTATTTTTGTGTAGTTTTTCAGAAAAGTGCTAGAAACATATTGACAATCATTGTAGCCATTGATGCATATATTATCTGTATAAATTTCAAAATATATAGTTGGAAAGATGAAAGATAGTTGGTTGGAAAAGTTATCTTTGGCAGTTGTAAAACAGTAAATGGATTCAATTTATATCAGACATTAGGATGATATACATTTGGTTTATCACTTATAATTTTATAGGTCATATTTCCCTGACTTCCTAAATTTCCAAAAGGATAAAGAGGCAGGGAACACCTATAAAATCTGACCTATAAAATTGATTAATCGAAAGTCCTCCAAACATGTTTTAGAAATTCCACATTTTACTGTATTTCCATCTAAATATTTTCCCTTTTAAATTGAACAGGTATTTGATTGAATTAACCAGTGTGTGCTGTCATGTAGGCCCAGACTGCATTTGAATGCTAGCAATAAAGAGCTTAAACATACAACCACTTTCATTGACTGTTAGTAAGAACAGAAATGAAATCTGACCACAAATACCCAAACTTTGGCTTCACTGCCTCAAAGTTGTCTTCATGTGTGCTTGCTCATGAAAAAAGTCTTTTAATCAATGCCCAAAGTTCATAAGTTATATTAGAACAAATTTCTTTGACCAAACTCTTATTCTTCTAAAAATTTAGCTGATTTTTGGACATATGAATAAAAAAATATGTTTAACATAATATCAAAATAAAGCAAACTCAACTGGAAATGATCATCTGATGTCCACTGATGAAAACTGAATAAATAAATTATCTATACAACAGAATATAATACATAGTTATAAAAATGATTACAAAATTGGGTCGGGGTTGTGTTTCAGGGGTAGAGCGCTTGCATGGCATGTGTGAGGCACTGGGTTTGATTCTCAGCACCGCATATAAATAAATCAAAAATAAAATAAAGGTCAACAGACAACTAAAAATCAGACTACAAAAGATTTAAATGTGGTAGTATAAGTGGATCCATTGGATAATGTTATAAACAAAACGAGCTAAAGGAATACTGTAATGGCTTCTCTGTCATGAAAAAAAAAGAGTCACAGACAGGTTTTTGCTTTTATACACAGTAAGTATTTTTAGAGGGACACAAAAGAAATTTATATGCTTGTTTCTAGGAAGGAAGACAGATCTGGAAAGGAAGCAATCTTTCTTTCATTGTATATCCTTTTAAGTTTCTTAATTAGTTTTTAGATTATGCATAAAGTTCATCACAAAAAAGATCAAAAAGTAAAATTCAAAGAAAATGCATCAAAACAGAATAGCAAATGTCCTATATACTTAATGAGAGTATACTCACCTTTCCCGACAAAATTTAAGTGAATGTAGTATGGCAGGCCTTTTTTGACGTAAATTCCATAAGTGTAAGGTATCATCAGCCAAGACACTCACAAGAGCTCCCTTTAAAAAAAAGCATATTTTATACATAAATACATCTTATAAACATTAATGCAACCAAACATTTGCTGAAAATATCTCATTCTTAAACTTCAAAATATTTGCTTCTAAGAAACATTTACCTCACCAAATTCTAAACAGCAGATGTTGGAGTATACATACATGTGTATGGATGTCATTTAATGTTTGAACCTCAATAACTTCAAGTTTAACTTAATATCTTATGAAACAAAAGTGTAATAGTAGTATACAGTAGGATACATGATTAAGACTTAGCTATTTAAAATTAGAGATTGGAATATAAAATTAGTTGGTGACTACAATAAATATTTTCTGGACTAACAGAGCAAAATATGATATAAAATGTCAAATGTTTTCTCTGATATAAAGAGGCTGATTCATAATGGGATAGGGAGAAGGGAACATGGGAGGAATAGATAAACTTAGGGTAGAGTTGCTGGAAAGGGAGGGAGGGGGCGTGGGGTTATAAATGATGGTGGAATGTCATTATCATTATTATCCAAAGTACATGTATAAGGACACGAATTTTTGTGAATATACTTTGTATACAACCAAATATGAAAAATTGTGCTCTATATGTGTAATAAGAGTTGTAATGCATTCTGCTGTCATATATAAATAAAAAAATGTATGGGAAAAAAGATAATTTCTTGTTTGTTGAGTTTTATTATTTAGGGTAACAAATGTTAAAGGGATTAAGGTTTGTATAATTCCAGTTACAAACAACTGTCACTTTAGGTTATTATACTACACTATGGATTCTAAATTTTTCTTAAAAGTTAAACTTGGTTAATATAAGTAGACTGGTGTAATTATGAAGCTACTACTGGTTTCTTTTACATTAGATGTATTCATGTCCCCCAAGAATACAAGTCTTTAAATAAAAGGTCTAGGAGAACACTTTACCATGCTGTTGTTCTACATCTAAAGTTGTCTGTAACACTGGTCTTTTGCAAACTTAAATTTTTATTTATGTCATTTGATGTTCTATAATTAGATAAAAATAATCTGTCATAAGTTGTAAAATTTTGTGTTACTCTTTACTTTGGGATGGGCACTTTAATACATTTTTGGAAGACAATAAGGAGAGACTGGTTTATTTAAAGGTTGACAATATGGGATATGAAGAAATTTTGCCACTTTCCCACAAATGGGGTTAAAAGCTATCTTAGCCTGTTTGATTCATGTTTCAGTTTAATGTGAAATTATGTTAACTGATTCATATAGGCCCAGGAAATGATATATGAAAATGTTGTCAAATAATATTTGAGGAAGAAATAAGGATCAGTTTCAGAAATAAAACACCTTACCTAAGATTTATCAAGAGGCCACCTCACTTGAGTTAAAAAACTCTGCCTCTCACCTTATTCCATGTTAGGATAACCACTCAAGTTCATTTGAAGTAAATTAAAGAAATAGGCATTTTTATAAGGATTACTGTGATTTTAAAATAAGGAGGAAATATAATATATAGCTAAGTAAAGGTCTGGAATTGCAAAAAATGTTTCTTGGTTCATAGCTATTATACAAACTAAAAATGTTTTTACTCTTGTAAAAAAAAAACTGCTAGTCCTTATTTTCATGGTCATATTCATTTATTTTGAATTAATATCATTCCAATACTCATGTCTTCTTGTTTCTCTGATAGAAGCATCCACCTCCCAGATGACTTTACAACCTGTTCTTTACAAACCAGACTTTTACCATAGACCCTTCGACTGACCCAAAACATTCCTAAAAGGGAAACCCAAACTGCTTGCCCCATGTCGCCCCCTGTCAGCCTGAAAGAGCCAGAGTTGTCATTGCCCATTTCCCCTTACAACAGTAAGGGTTCCCTTACTCAAAGGGAAGAATAAGACCAAGACAAAAGACAAGTAGTAGATTATATTTAATTTAAAAAAAAAAAGGAAATGGGGTAGATAGCACTCCCCATCACCAATGCTTTGGCACAAAATATTTCAAGAAACCTCCAGGATCAACAGACTATTGATAATAAACTTGAAGCTAAGGTGAATGCCTTAGAGGCTATTGTAGTAGTCTTGGGTGATCAGATACAGTCTTAAGGTCAGACAACAATTATGATGCCATGTCGTTTATTAGTTTGTTTGTGTAACTAACACCTGTTCCATACTATATCTCCTAATGGGATTGGGAAAAGATAAAGATACATCTATTGTGAATTTGGAATCATAACAATGTGAATTTATATCTTTTACAACTACACGGTTACATCCAAGTCATGCAAAAAAGTAAGATTCCTGTGTTATCTTCCACCAGTTTTACACAAAAAGCTGTTAGATGATTTGAATGGTTTCAATTATTAAAACATGCTAAAACATACTGCATGGTATCTCTTAGGACTTGTTTCCTTGCTCTTTATTCTGTGTTGTTTTCTCGTGGTCAGCTACAAGCTTGTCGGACAAGCTCTAGTTCCAGTACTTCAGAGTAGACATGCATAGATTACATTTAAAAAATAAAAAAGGGGGAGATGCAGAAAGTGGTAACTTATATCATGGTCTCTGACTGCCTTGTGGCTGTGGCTATGGCTGTGCTTGTGCTGGGAATTTTTGCACAAAGTTGCAGGATAAGATTGCCTAGTTGCTATAGTGATGCCCTGCCTGAGGAAGCTCTGTGCAAAGGCACAGAACTACATCAGTCTTAACTTTGAGCTCAGACACCTGTCATCAGTGAAAGAGAATTCTGAGCATAACAAGATAACCACAAGAGCCAAGACATTCAAGTCTGTCTGCTTTGCAGAAACATTCCCACAAATAACCTTTTGATGATAAAACCTGTATAAAAAATCTGCTGTACTAGCTCTGGGTCTTTGTTCTTGTATCAGAGTTTGGTGTACCAACTGGTCCCAGGTTTCTCCTTGTAAGTGTGTATGTCTTTAAACCCCACATTGCCCCTCACCAGTTTCTAAGATTGGGCTATGTAAGTCAAGGAAAAGTTAGATAYCTTTTATATTAATTTCAAAAGATTTGCAATCCCAATCCTTTATGTTATTATGAGAAATCTTAAAGTCTCCCCATTTAAAATAGGAGTTTTTCATCCAATTCGGAATGATTAAAATAGCTGTCAAAATAAGATATACATCAAACCATATCTCCCAGTCCTTTCCACCTTCTAAATTCTGAGGGGTAACTCTTTTATGTAGGTACTACTGCTATAACATGACAACTGGAAAGCTATCTGACATACATAAAGTACACACTCTCCTTTTACTAGAAAGCATCGTCTTATCTATAACACTCAGACCCTAAAAAAAATTACACAATTACAAATTATTAGTATGATAGTTTTACTTAATTTTTTGTCATCTTTAGAATTTTACTTCCATGAAAACCTTTCTTAAATTCTGACATGAATATTCATCAAAATCCAGAGGTATTTAGATATGTATTTTCCTATACATTACAAATTTATTCAATGTATCTTAAGGATTTGGGGGRAAAACAATGTTCACAAACTATCCTCAAATCTAAGGAGTTCATCAGAGCCTTTTCTGGAGAAATTTCTCTTCTTTCCTTCTACGACCATCTTTCCTTGCCTGTTGCCACTTACAGTGAAGATCTATTCTCAGAGCTGCTCATGTTGTTCTAAAATCTGCAAGCACAGAGTTTCCTGAGCTAATAAAATGTTGTTTACACTATCTCTTTCTATATAGTAAATTCAAAAAGAAGGGGATTATCAATTACTTCAACAAATAAGCAGCACAACTTGAAGCAATATCCACTTTAAAATGAAAATTGGCTTCTTCCTGGTAGTATTTCAAAGCAATTCATTAGGGCTGGGGATGCAGATCAGGAGAACACTGCCTAGCATGTGCGAGGCTCTGGGTTCAATCCCCAACACCACAAAAAAAAAAAAAAAAAAGAAAGAAAAAGAAACAAAAGGTCAAAGTAATCCATTAAAGGAATTCTGTTACTTATAACAGGATTCTTATTTTATTAATTTTTAATATAGACTTTGTTATACAACTTTAAATATCCCTGAAATAAAATTATATGCAGCATCTAGTACCAAAAAAAAATTTTAGCCTTATCCCTTCTGTTTGCAACTCTATTTTGAGAAATATATCATACAACTCTCCACAATGATGACTAAAACTAAATTACAGTTATCTCCAACCCACAATATATTAATTTTTGTTCAAATATTTAAATGTGAATGCATACAAAAAAACTGAAAGACCAGATGTAGCCCAATTTCAAATATAAAAAGGAATGATTAAGATAATTCACTAACCTCATTAATCAGGAACTGGAGCTGAATTACAGCAGCTCCACTGTCATGTTGGCAATAACATTCTACTCCCGGACGACCAAAGCTATCATAAATTCCATTAAGGAGTTTTTGATATGTGTGGCCTTTTTTTCTTTAGAGAAATTGATAAGTTATAACAAACTAATAAGTATTTTGATAACCTGATATTTAATAATATAGGGCACTTACTGAGGTGGAGATTTAGAGTTAGGTTTACTACACATTAATTAGTTTCTGTCGATAATCAGAAGTCTCACCAGTTACAGTTCTAAAAGAAATAAAAAAATAGATCCTTCTAGTAAAAAAATGAAGTATTAAATTCAGCAATATGGAAAAACACGAAATAGTTAAATTATTTTACTCTGGCCCAAAATCTTTTTTTTTCCTTTTAAAATTTTCATATAACAGAAAACATTTATATAACATTTTTTATGTGCCACCCATTATTATAAACATGTTTCATAATATTAAATATTTTAATCCTCATAACCCATGGAAGAATATATTAATATTCCCTATGATAAGGAAACTGAAGTACAGAGAAATTACATAACTTGACCCAAGTCACACAACTACAAAGTAAAAGAGAAGGAATGTGAATATGCAACATGGTTCCAAGATGTTCACTTTTTCCCCCCCAGTGCTGGAGCTCAAACCTAGGGTCACTGTCATGTTAAGGACAAACTCTACCACTAAGATGTACCCCTAGCCCTACATTCATAATAGGTATGCTAATCAATAAAATGGAACAAAAAAGGCTATACACTCAATAGAATCCCCTGTGTGCAGTTAAATACATTTCACCTTCATAATCTTGACCATTTTAACATGTTAATACACTAATCMAATTTTCACTACTTAATAAATACTAATAGTAACCAAAATAAAAATCTTTGGTGGGATTTAATAAAATTATAACTCTTTCTATAAACTCAAATCCAGGAATACAGACATTTTATTAAGCTAGGGCTTAATAAAAAATTAAATTGTAGCATAGGTTCAATTTGTGCTTCTCCCATTTGATTYCTAGACATTTTCCTAGGTAATATTTATTTTCAGTAGGGTTTTTTTCTATTTTATACAATTAACTTCTATTTCATAACTTTACAGACTGATTTGAGTATGCTTAGCTTATACTCAAAACCTAGAATTACTGTTATTAGCAGTATTGATAATTGTAATAGTGTTTGACACACCAGTACAAATGCAACTACAGAAACCAGATTTCAAATTGCTAGTATTGGCACTATGCAAATCACATCAAAAGTCAAGAGAAATGTCTACATGCCTGTTCACACATTTCTTTTCTCAGGTGACAAGACAGATCATTACAGTGAGACTAATTCTAATCTTTTCAGCTAAATTATTTTTGCATCAATGACTATATTTTAAAATTCTTTTTACATGAATCAAGTTAGTTAAATTTTTCTGAGCAGACCAGGAAAACTAATGTAAAAATTGTGAGCTACCATGGAGAATCATAAAAAATATATTCATCTTAATATTATCACAAAATATATATCACTTTACTAATTTTCTGATGTTAGCCCATGACCTTTCCTTTGAGTATGGATTCCGAGTTGTTTCTCTTGAATAAAACAGCTCTAACTACCCAGATTTAAGATTTCCAGTTTATCTGGATCCAGACTTGGTGTCCATTAGTGGATGAATAGATAAAAGAAAATGTGGAATATATACACAATGTTCTTTTTAGTCATAAAGGAAAATGAAAGTGTCATTTACAAGAAAATGGACGGAAATTGAGAGATTTACAGAAAGGGAAATAAGCCAAACTAAGGTGTTCAAGTGCCATATGTTTCTTGCATATGTGGAAGCTACAGAGGAAAAGGAAAAAAAAGTGGAGCAGGGATCTCACGAAAACTGAAGGGAGATCAGTAGAGTAGAGGAAAGGAATCATGGAGTGGAAGAAGTGTAAGGAAAGGGAAAATACTCAGGGATGATATTGGCCGTATTATATGGTTATGTTGAATGCATATATGTAACAATAAATCCCACCATTATGTAGAACTATAGTACATCGATAAAAATATAGAAAAAAATCATCCTGTATAAGTGGAAAAAATTATTTCTAGCTTAATTGTTTAAACATGTCTTAAAAGATATTGGCTGTGAAATTCAAGTTCAACATTCATAAAAAATGTTATTCCTTCTCAATCATCTACAGTTATGATGGGAAATTTTAGCATGGAAAAACACAAACTATAGAGTACAGAGTTCTCAATCTTGTTATCATGTTAGAATTCTAGAACCACTGCAAACGTATTGCCAGAGAAGATGCCTGGGTGGGTAGGTCAGTTATTTAGTTAATTTGCTTATTTATTTATTTTAGGTGCCACAGGAACATCTGAGACACAGTGAGAATGGAACATCTCTAATTTCAAGTCAGTTCATATGCCAGTTCTGCCATTATCTGCTGTAATATAATGAGAATTATTGTAACTTTCAACGTTGTAATCTGTGAAGTAAAGATGAGACTTATTAATCTAATAGCAAACTAATTTGTTATTTATTAAAATAACAAATATTAAATAACAAGTTCTTTATAGAACCTAAAACTAAATGTTATTTTATAGTGAAGATGCCATTATAAGAAAATGTCAATTTTGAATATCAGATCACCAAACAGCATGCCACAGAAACAAACATTCACATCCTTTCACACCTATGGTGATTACTGCTTCTGGTACATGTGGTTCTTCCTAATACTAACAACACTGAGAGTTAAAATTCTTATTGGAAAATGGCCAAAAACTATAAAAAAGATCTGCTTGGTATATTATTCCCATATATCATGGCTACATTCTTATAATTAAATGAAAAAGCAAAATTTTTTACATTAAAATGAAGATGAATCAAAAGAAGAGTACATATTGAGTAATGGTATAAAGATATTTGTTAAATGGAGAAATATTATTCTGATACATACTTTTTATACATGTATGAATCAACTCTAAGGCAAAGCTAACGGTAAATCTTACCTTAGTACACTGTCTCACCTTATAACTCTGAATTCCAATATAATTTTTTCAAAATGGTACCATCATCCTAAGATAACTTTGTGTCCTCAATTTTTCTACTGCTTGCCTATCCAGAGCTATGATATCTACCTAATCTTGTTAGTCATCTTTGTTTCTGGGAAGAACCAGTTAATTTATCTGACCCATGTCATATGGCAAATACTTCTTGTACAGTTACATTCATGGTCCTTGTCCAAAAAAGCACCATTGATAACAGTCACACTTATGAAGAGGAGATGCARAAGCCAAAGTTAAAATATACTGGGAGCAGAGACTTTGAATGTTAAAGTTAGTTAATTGAGACACATAAACAATAGGGGAAAATAATTATAGAAGTAAAACGCACAATGAACTAGAAATTAAGTAGGAACCATCAGGAAGAAGTATACAACATTGATGAGCAGAAACAAAAAGCTTGTTTACTTATAGAACTATACATCAATTTAAAAATAAACATGTATCCAATTGCCTAAATTGACTATTGTTGTTGCTGTTATGATATTGGCTGGGTGACTGGTTAAGAAGGGAGTGATAAAGGAGGAACTAAGATATCCTTATATCCATCATCCATATCATCATCATTGAGATTTATGAAACATTCGATAGGTATCAATAACTATGGATGTATTACTTCACAATAGTACTTCTGTGACAATTTGTTTTTAATAAATGAGAAGAGTCAGGTACAATAAGTAAACTGTCCAAGGTAATTTGTATGTTAGTTAAGAAAACTGACCCCAGATAATCTAATTTCAGAACCTACTGTGTAAATCACCAAGCTTTACCATACAAAAATGGAATGTATGTTAAGAGCTGAATTTCACATGTAAATTTGTCACTTCCTACCTTACTGTAAGACATCTTAAAACTGGGAGAATGAACATAGAAGAGATTTATTATCCATATTTTACATATGAGTAGCTAAAAAACTCAGATTGTTCTAATACTATAAAATTGGACCAAATGTAATTTTTAGTAACAAGTAAGCATGATAAACCAAGTAAGTGGTTATCCTTAGGTRGCTGGGGTCATGCCCTTAAAGGGACAGTGGGACCTTTGTCTCTCAGTCTTTCTTTGCTTTCTGGCTTATGAGAGGTCTGATCAGTCACATACTCCCTGCTATTGCCATCCAGCAGAGAGGCCCATGGAAATATGGCCATCTGAACTTGGACTGGAAAATTTAGAATCATGAGCTAAATAAACTTTTTCTAAGGTAAATGGCTTACGTATTTCATTATTGTACTGTGAAGCTCATAGGAATGGTACACAATATTCCAATCAAAAAATACAATACACTCATTTTTCATATTAGCTCAGGGTCTAATATTAAATATTAATTTTAATAATAAATCAATGTGTCCCATTAGGGTAAGTAAAATGAAATTCTATATTTCAATTTAGAAACTACCATCTTTTTTTATAATATTTTTTTAGTTGTAGGTGGACACAATACCTTTATTTTATTTATGTGGTGCTGAGGATCGAACCCAGGACCTCAAACATGGGAGACGAATGCTCTACCGGTGAGCCACAGCACCAGCCCCAAACTACCTTCTTGCATACGCTTCATGTCTAAATATTTAGAGACTAGAGCCATGTGAGAGCAATAAAGCAGCAAACAAACAAATGGAGTCTTGGGTTTAGTTCAGTGGTAGAATACATACTTAGTATTTATGAAGTCCTGGATTCAATTCTCTGCATAAAAAAAAGTTTAGTATATCAAACATCATCTTACTAAAGATAATACAATATGTTAGAGAGAGAGATGGTGGGGGAGAGAAAAAAGCTTGCAGGATTAATGAAATATACTATGTTAGTAGAAAAAAGGACAAAAATCACATTGTCATTTCAATGGGCATAAAAATTTATAGACAAAAATCAATCCTTTTTCCTGGTAAACCACTCAATAGAACAAAGAATAGAAGAAAACTTCCTCAATGTAACAAAGGAAATCTATGAAAAAGTCACAGCTAAGCTAACATCATACTTAATGGTGAAAGACTGAATAGCTTATCCACTAAGATCC